ATTGTGATATATGGTGCGAGCCTAGCGCCGCCACTTCATGTATTTACCAAGTGAAATGTTTTCATTGGACCAAACGCGAATTTGTTCACTAGGAGTCACAAGTTGGACCACTCTGCACCTTCTATTCTGTCGCGTAATCAAGCCGTAGAGATGGCAGCAGAGGCACAGAGTATGCAGATTCGAAAAAGACTAAAAGACTTGATTATTGTGCAAAATCTGGCTATTATGGACTGACTAAGGAATAAACTCAGACTTTGGACATTTAAAAGAAAAAGTCAGATTATTTGAACATGATATAGACAGAGACTCAGTGAAAATGCATTTTATGTATACATGTAGAAAAGATTCTTGCCAATTTGAATGCTATTTCTAACAGTTTCATAAGCATATTTTGTTATTCAGTGAATTGCATTTGAGGAGTGTAAAATGTATGTACAATGTACCTTTGAAATGGTGGGCACAGTGACACAGATGTCTTTTAGAAGTTGAAAGAGAAGATAATAGAAATATTGAATATGTAAAAATATATGAATTATTGTTTGATCATCTATGATGTAATTGCTAGAATATGAATATTTAAATTTAAATTTCTGTGACAGAAAAAAGGGAGTAGAAAACAAAAGTCAAATACAAAACTTTGGGTCATGTTCCACTTTTCAGGTAAATATTTGTCAGGAACTCAGGAGAGAAAAATCTTGCATGTATTTAAAATGTCATATGAGATATTTGGAAGCATATTTTGTGTTGCTTTTAAAGTGTAGATTTATGTGAAGTGCATGATTATAAAAGGCAATGGGTTATTATTTGAAGGATACAATGTAAAGATTTTTTAGGAATCAAGGAATGTATATAATGTGCATATTTGTGTTGACGCAAATATTTGGTGTACAGGTTATTTTAAAGCAGATGCTATTTTGGTTCTGAGACAAATTTTCAAAGAGTTTATAAAAGACGATAAAAATTGTATTATGGGCATTAATAGTGCTTAGTGAAGGCAGAACTGTACACACTTGACTATTTTGAAGACGTTAATGTTTTATAGCAAATGAGTTCGTTGTATATAATTAGAGGTGAAATAATTTTGCTATGTTCAGATTTAGTGTCAGGATATTTACATTTGGAAAGTTCTTTATAGAAATGGCAGTGTTTGATAGTATGATTTGAACAAATCGTGTCATTTGCTTTGTTGTTACATAGCTACTGTACATATAAAACGACACTTTGCATGCTTAGTTTGCACGAAAGAAATGCTTTACTGCATTCGTTAGAAGGGACATGACATTCGATTGTGTTGTTTATTTGTACAAATTCTGAAAGAGACAGAAAATAACAAAAGTCCAAAATTATTGCGAACATTGTTTAAAAAGGGATTCAACTCAGTGACAAGAGTTTGAATCAAGACTAGTCATCTGATGACATGTTTCGATAAGGAGAATTGTTTGATAGTCTTAGTCCACAGTATACTTCTGAATTCAGTGGAACTTGAAAGTGTACACCCTAAAATAAGAGGTAGTGGTTAATCTAGTTCTTAACCATTTAAATCTTTGTTGCGATATTGTGGCTCTCATTGTCATTGTTTTTATTGTAGTTTGAGTAGAATTTAGAGTTGGACAGATTTACGACCAAAGCATATTATTGTTACCAAGATTCTATTGATAGCTAAGGCCTGATTTCATTGTGCATGTCTTTATTATATCGGTGCAAAACAAAATTCAGTTTATCTGTGCTATGTATTGGAGTCAACAGTACTTGCCTTTTTTAAGATAGGGCTGCATTGCAGCATTCCAGAGTGTTTTCTTAAGGTGCCAACATCATTTATAGTGAGTTTACAAGTTACTAACCTATGCAAAAATCTTTCATTTTGTGACACAAGCGGGCTTTCTTGTCCAAAGATAGTAAAAAGAGCCACAAGAGGGACATTGGTTGGTTTTTGTTTGACAAACTGATAATAATCAGGAGTATAGACATTCATAAGCTAGTTAAAGGTTAAATTGTCATTGGTATTTTCTAAATGATGGCATTGAGGTGTTTTTTGTGTCATGTAGGTGTTGTGGCATGTTAGAGCCACAGTTATGCATATTTTATTGCATTGAGTTACGTGTATATAGTTTGACTTTGAAAAGGTTTTGAGTTTTTATTAGCAGGAACTTTTGAAAATAATACAGGAATAAGATTTAATCAGAATGATTCGAGAAAGCCATATGGTTATTATTGTTTTTTGGAAGTATAAGAAAAGGTGTAATTTTCTGTCGGCTTGCCTCTGAAAATTAAGGGGCCGGAAATGTAGATGCCAAACTAATGCAAGAGCGCCATCTCTTGTCGGTTTTAAAAAATTTAATAAGTTTGAGGGGAGGAAAAGCGCGAATAATCACTGGCAGTAACCCTTGGAAACAAGACAGAATTTTAACCTCTTCTCCCTACTTCATATTTCCGTTTTATGATCTTGTTTGGTTTTGGACAACAATTGGAATGGATGCAATCATTGTATAATAACATTGTGATCGACCCGACGTGAGTAACGTGAAATGTGGTTATAGTAAAGGCTTCAAAATTAAAGTTTTTGAGACATATTTATATTGGTATTCGACAATTGATTTCTACACTTGCAATTGCAATTCTACAGTACGGTACGTGGATTGACGATGTACGTGTGAATTATAGTGTCAGATTGCGAGATATTAAAGGACGGAACGGAGCTGAGAGGAGCGTTGAAACTATAATAAGGTGAACTTGGGTTCTTGGCCAGTCAAAGGTGATCGTGAACAACAAGGGACCAGTGCAGTACCAGTCTGATAAATGAGAATATGACTAGAGAGGTCTATGAATAGAGCATGATCACTTGTGGGTGTATTTTGAGTCGAAAGAATGACGTGATTGGACAGAATACAGTCAGAGAATTAATGTCGAGGTCTAAGCCTAGACCTCCAGACCTAGTCTAAAAATGGAGAACTAAAGACAGACTATCTGACTACTTCAAGGTCATTTTGCACCCACAACATAATGATGGTTGTAGTGAAAATTGTTTAGGACTTGAGAAAGAACTAATATGATGATGATATGATGACGATGTCGATGGTGTGAAAATCAACAATTTTTGAAAGAGGGAGTGTAAGTACACTTCCTACAAATTTTCATTTGCGAAAATAACATATTGTATTAAAAGTATGAAAGGGTGACCAAAGCTCGCGGAGATTTTGACAATATTATATAATGTGATATTCGATCAATTATTTCTCATCATATTCTACACATTTTTAAAAATTGTTATCATAACCAAATGGACGGCAATTTTTTTTTTACTACGAAATGGTTCAAATAGAAAATTTATCGTCCAAGGATCCCGGAGATATCGCGATCTAAAAATTCGTTTTCGGATCGGCGTGCGCACTGCAGCAAAAAAATATATAAAAACAACGAGACCTTACTTCGCGCACGGGGGTTTACAGCTGATTTATCAAAACGAATAATTGTATTTTTATAGTCAGAAGATTACCTGACCTGACCCGATTAAATTCTCATCATACCATGTATACTAGCGATTATCTATACAGGATATCCAGCGATAGGTTTCTTCACGTCACAATCGCTACCCGATGATCCGGTGACCCGGTGACCCCAGGGGTCAAGGCTTGAGATGGTGATGTTTATTTCGGAAATTACTCATAAAGAACTTGAATCCCAAAGTCCTTCAATTGTTAGCTGAAAAGGAATAAGAGGATTTACAGCCAATGTCAGTTTAAACAAATACATTTTTCGAAGTGATAATCAATAACCTTCGATTCGCTTGAAACGACAAATATACATAAAAAAGATGATTATGAAGAATAGTTTGAGCATTACCTTTGAAATGTGAATAGCAACAGTAAATCATTTCAATATAATGAGAAAATAAAGCAAGATATCCGAGCGATACCCTAATTATAAGGGGCAAGGGGTTGGCCACGGTAAATCTGAATTGACTTGCCTTACATCACCGGTTTGTGGGATGGCATCTCAACGTAAAAGGGAGAAGTTTGTATTCACACAAAAATCGTGATCAAACTTCATTCATCTCGCAATAGTTTAATCGCTGAAGTTAAAAACAGTTGTTATGTTCCCCTTTAGTTGGATTTTCGTCGGGATAGCGGATGGGCCGGGGGGGGGGGGGGGGGAGTGTACTATTACTCCTTGTCTTGTCTATAAATGGTGAAGTTAGTGAACACATCAGAGGTATTACCTTAAAAGCTATGATCAACAGCATGCATATCAACCACGGAATCGATAAACCAAACCAATGCTCGAATATTCGCTGGTATAAGAAATCGAATTTTCCTACTTACTTATAATATTAATTTATTATTTCTACATAATGGCATCAAAACGATTCACTTGCAGGTAGGATCACATGATGCATAAACATATGCAAAATACTTCAGAAATTAACTTTAATAAAAACAGAACACTAACGAAATAGAACATTCTTTTTTTAGAATAAAGTCAAATGCGGATGATACATAAGTAATACAAAGTTTGATAATTAACATGATTCACATCGATTTCGATGTAAAAGCAAGACTCTATCTTTTTCTATATAATCCGTGGCATCATCGTTAAGTGTCGTCCATGGTTTTAGCATTCTAAAAACCTAAAGTAAACGAAATAAACAGATAAAAATACATAATGCATGGGTTTTACTGAACATTCAAAGTTTGAAGTCGCCAATGTCATCTTTTTATCAGTGAACAAAATAGGTTCAACTATGAAACATCGATGGCGTCATCGAATACCGGTGACGTCATCCCTGATCACCCGGCTACTCTTTTTGGGCATTGTTTTCTATTCTCGACAATACGGCCTCGAACTTGAAAAGAAAAAGACCTTTTATGCGTGACGTCATGCTGCGCACGAGCACACTCAATTCAGTCTATGCATTACCAGTGACCAAAGCTTTGTGAGCTGTAAAGAAGGACTGGTCATTTTACGCTTCAGCGGCGCGATCAATATTTTTTTGAGATTTGTCCAGCTTTGATCGTAAGCCTACTTGAGCCTGTATATGACACAAATCTGCAACGAGCTTTGCTGTCAGCTGTATGCTCTCCCATTTGGGTGTTATTCGACATTTGACGCGTTACAATCTGGCTAAAGTCGCCTGCAATCTTGGATTTACTTTCGACCAGTCATACTGTTAATGTATTGGAGCTGAAAAATTCCTGTCAGAAAAGTTTTTCGTTGCTTGTTGGAAGATTATGTGATTGTTTTGTTGGTAGATGCGTAAAGTAGTTTCGGTTTAAACCTCAACGTGCCATAACAAGCAACTCCAGGACCTAAATCGTATTGCTTGCATCAACCGTGAACGGAAAGACAAAACAAGACAAGATACGTGATACAACTTCTTCCAGGTAGCATTGACTCTGCGCCTTCTTTTTCTTGCTCATTTTTGTACAAGGCAGTCCTGATCGAGCGTTGGCGTGTAAAAAAAAAAAAACGTCAGGTATTTTCCGTGCACGAGTTGACGACTACTTCAAAATGGTGGATGTCATAGTTATATACTGTTAAACCAAACTAGTTGGATTTACAGGGACAAAAGGTGGATTGTTTAGAAACAGCGGAAGCAATCGTATTCTAACCGGAAAACTGGTGCAAGGACTTCTTTATCGCGTCAATATCCTGTTTCATTAAAACGGTGAGTGGGTGTTATTTTGATTTTTGTGTTGTTTTTGTTGTTGCTTTCCTCTGAAGATCATTTAGCTCTTGCATGGTTGTTAGATAAATTTTGTTTATTTACATATGTAAAATGCAAGGATGGAATGTATCAGTAAACCTCGTACATTGGATTAGAGGTATAAATGCATATTTCAAGAGCCTGAGATTATGAACACAGTAATGATGAAAAACCTATATGAAAACAATAACAATTTGTATTGTTAAGGTATATCATTTTCGTGGATGTCGCTTTTACAATATTGAATCATAGCAACAACTCTTCTATTTGTATATGTTTTATTTGTTTCAAGTACAATTCATAAGCATTCATAACAAATTGTTTGCAGGTAAATGTTATCAAAAAAACAATACAGACGGGATAACGATATGATTGCAGGTCCCTAATTAAGGACAGTATGAATATTAATGAGGTTCATCATCAATAGTGATCTGTCAGTTTATGACAGGTTCAGTGACCCATTCAAAAATTCTATATCAAATGTCTCTCCAAGTTTCTCTCCAAGTTCCTCGGTCTTGAGCCAACCGTTTCATCGTTTCATACCCTGTTGCTCCACATTGTGTGATTACATCGTCTAGAAAGCCTTTACGAGGTTACCCTGGGTAAACAAGATATATTATTATTATTATTTTTTTTGTTATCATTACTATTAGTCAATTACTACAGTAGCGTACCACATCATTGTAGCTCACTGCCCAGCAGAAAATGTTGCATGAGACCAACTTCTTGTGTTGATATTTTAGCCCAAAATCCATTTATGAGAGGTTTGGTTGCATGCCATTCTTTCTTTTCCGCAGCGATGGGTCCTTTTAATACTGGCCACTCCTCTCACTTCGGTCAGCTGTTGAAAGGGCCGCATGTCCAGCTGAATGACTTTGTTGGTCTTTTCTTTCTGATCATCGGCCTGCAATGCTACGCCGCACAAGGTATGTAATGATCCCCTTCATTACGTAATCAGGTGTATCATTAACTTCAATTCATTGCCTCACTTGAGCGTCATACTTTGTTGAACTTTTACTCATAAAGATGATGCTCAGTTTTGATTCAAAATGGTCATTTGCAAACAAGGATGCAAACTTTGGACAAAAGAGCTGGAGGAGAGAATTTCTTTTTTAGCGGTCACTCTAAATTTGACGCCCTAATTTGGTGAAGTCCGTTATGCAAGATTGAGTTATTCCCCCCGTTTTCTTGGAAACAAGAGCATTTACGTTTGTTGACCAACCCTTGTTTTCCTTTCCAGCCTGCCCCCTATTAATTGTGTGACAAACAAAATTCTGTTCTGCCCGTTACATATACGAGGTGTTGTGTAAATTGCATTATTACTTTATTAATCTATTCCGTATGGCACAATGTTCGCTCTGTTCATTACCTATTCAATTTTGGCATGATATCACTCTAAGTAACATGGCGCATCTAAGGCCCCACCGATCGCTGACGCAGTACTAAGTCTGAAAGCAGGCATCTGACGCATCATGAGGCTTCTAAGTTAATGGAAAAACAATTAATGGTAGTAAATAGTTTCATATTCTCATCATACGCAGAAACATCTCGCCTCCGCCTTATCAGTGGCGCAACCCCGAATGAAGGTCGCGTCGAGGTTGACGTCGGTGACGGTCGAGGATGGGGCACGATTTGCGATAACGGCTGGGGTTACAATGACGCTTCGGTCGTCTGTAAACAGATCGGTTATCCGGCGGCGACCTTCTCGACCCCGGGAGCGCGGTTCGGCGGAAACCCGACTCTGCCAATACTACTAGAGAATGTAGCATGCTCTCCGTGTAAGTTATGCCCATAAACATGTCACATCTGTTGAAGAGTCAGTCCAAACTCTAAAAGAGTAACAAAATTATTCCACTGAGAGCTAAAATGGCATCGAGTCATATAATTTAATTAATGTACATTTAGTGCCCGTCTGTAATATTCTTTATTCTGACTCTACAAATACGATATGAGATCATAAGGGGGAATCGCTAACTACTCATGAAATCCAAGGATGCCGATGAGTTCTCCGATGCCAAACTACGACTTTGCAACAACTGAAAATGGTTCCTTAGGTTCGACAATTTTACAAACAAACTACTTAGTTTGAAATGTTGTAGAAAGAAGAAGAAAATAATTTCCAACATGCGAGGAAAAAATACATACGAAACACTAGATTCTAACGACACTATAGACAGCCATATAGATATGCACGTTTCTGTTCGTGTACCTAGTCTGAAAACTCCCCCTATCGCTCCCACTATATACCAATGTGTGGATAGACTCTTTCAGAATATTGTAAATGCACCTGTGTAATGATTTCACAAAAGTGATTTTTTTTGTTTTGTTTAATCAGCTCATACCACAATAGACGAATGCCCATCAGCTAACCCTTCCGCTTCTTGCGATCATACCAACGATGCAGGGGTAAAGTGCATGGGTAAGTCATTACTCTTTGCTTTCTTTGTGAAACCGATGTACAGTAAAACATAAGTTACACAAGTGAAACAAGGAAATGTATACCAGGTTTTCTAAAAATACTATGGTCCGTAGTCCTTCAATTCAGTTAAACCATATAAGCCTGTATACTCGATGAAGTAAACAAAAAGCACATCGGTCAAACTTATTTTATAAACTAAGCATAGATCGGGTTTGAATAATTTATTATGACAATATTAACATAATTTTGTTTATTAACTTATGTCCTCAGAGACAGAAAAGATAGAAATAGAGACAGGTAAAGGGAGAGGGACAGAGACAGTAAAACAAAAACAAGTTATACTATCTTCTTTATGTGCAGATCATTGGTATTTCGGATTTATAGTAACCGAGTATTTTCCCTATATGATTAAATTTACCACTTTCCTACATTTTGGTTGCAGTTCCTGGTTTCCTTGGCTGTTTCTCCCTACTCACCATCGGTTCCCGGGCCTGGACTATCCCCGAGAACTCAAACGACGCATGCAAAGCCCAGTGCAAGGACCTGGACTACCGCTATGCCGGTATGTCAGGGACATCGTGTAGATGTGGGAACAACCGCCTGTTCTATTTCTACAACCAGTACCCGGACTACTACTGCAATTCCAACTGCAAGGGTGATGCCACGCAGCTGTGCGGCAATACTGTGAGCTCCTACTTCTCTGTGTTTGATAGTAAGTGAATATTGAACTAGTTTAGTGAAAATTGACCTGCCCCTCCCCCTTTCTCTCCCTTTCTCTCCCATCTGAAATTAGATTTTTTTTTCTCTTCCTTTCTGTTAGGATATGAGAGATCCAATAATCTGCTTCATGAAAGCATCTGATAGCATTAGCGTACAGTTGCTTGTTTTTACATTTTTTGTAAATAAAGACCAGTTATGGTCATGCGATTGCATTGTGAAAGAAACGTTGTGGAATCGATCAGAAAAGGTTGATCATAGCATATAAATATTCTAGAATCATCAAAATGATAAGAAATTTGGCCCAGTCTTCGTAAAGTTACAAGCACTGTACACGTTTATCTCTCACACACCAATAGATAAACTAATTTACCGAATATATCAATTAGTAGGCGCTTTCCCGGCAAAATTTGTATCATCGTGTATTATTCAAAACATATTCTTTCACAATTGATTGGTAATAAGAGCTTCCATTTCATTTTTTGAAATTGGAGCGTTTCCAATACTGGTCTTCACCTTTAACATTAGAATAGCGAAACAATGAGAGACAACACTCAAAGGACAAAGAATTAAAAACAAATGATGACATTTCCCCTAAGTAAATACGCCCTAAAAACATATGCCTATATGTTATTCTAATTTCGTCGAGTCAAAAGTGTGAAGTTCCTTTGCCTACAAGAGATAAAGCCAGTAGTTTGTCCATCACCATTTTGAAATGGGTCATTAAATTATTCTTGTTTGAGGAAACTTGATATTTCTTTCTTTTGACAGTGTTTGATGTGACGTCACTATATGTATGGATGATTCATTCTTTCTTTTCAATTATCATAATTCAGCGACCCTTGGTATATGCGAAGATCCAGGAGATCCTCAAAACGGCAACCGAACAGGAGATGACTTCGCTTTTGGTGCTACAATAGCATTCACATGCCTTGATGAACACGTGCTCACTGGCGATCCCATCCTGCAATGCGTGCTAGGGAATTCCCCGCATGACGTCAGATGGAGTGGAAATCTACCAGAATGCGGTATGCATCTCAAAGTGACTCGGTAACATTGTCTCAGATTCTGAAACAAAATCCTGGATTTAGCTCATGCTGGAAAATTGATTTCGATTTCCAATCATAAATATTTTGATAATCAGACAGGGGATCGGCTTGATGGGGTTCCTGACTGACCTAAAGGTTTATAATTACCATAGCATCATGAGCTAAATCAAGGCTTTTGTCAAGAATCTGATGCAAAGCATCGTTTAGCAATGTTAACTATGAGATGCATGGCCCTATGTGTTTATATCAGTGTCTGTGATATGGGGCAATATTAAAGCCCTAACAAAAATTCCACTTCAAAATAATCATGAAGTGCCTCAAAAATAGGAATCATCTTTGAGTGACCGGATATCAGTTATTTCAAAAACCGTTTCTTATATCTTTATTCATCACCATGCCAGTGATTCCAACATCAACACAACAAGGCGCTATGGAAATGAGGACTTCTACAATAGTTGACGTCACAATCGATCCGATGATGTCCTCTGAGAATCCCAATGCTCCTCAAAATAGTCAGACTTTATCATCGGGTAAGTAAAAGTTATTATGCCATCTCTATCTCAATTGCTCTCTTTCGTTCTTTCATTATTTCATTCTTTCTTACTATCTGTCTCCCCTTTCTATATCCATCTCCTCTCCCCCTACTCTCTCCATCCCTTTCTTTCTATCTCCCTATCACCCGCCCCCTCTGTCTCTCTCTCTCTCTCTATCGCTGTCTCTCTTTGTCTCTCGTTGTCTCTATTGATCTATGTCTGTTTCTCCCTATATCTCTCTATCTCTCTCTCTCTTTCTTTCATACGCATACACACACGTACACTCTCTCTCTTTCCCCCTTTATTCTGTTTCTTTTTTCATCCCTCTCTCTCTCTCTCTCTCTCTCTCTCTCTCTTTCTTTCTTTCACACACATACACACACGCCCCCTCTCTCTGTCTGGCTCTGTCCCCCCCCTCTCTCTCTCTCTCTCTCTCTCTTTCTCCCTTTCTCCCTTTCTTCTGTTTCTTTCTCCACCCCCTCTCACCCTCCTCCTCTCTCTCTCTCTCTCTCTCTCTCTCTTTCTCTTTATATCACACACACATACAAACGCCATCGTTCTTTCCCTCTGTCTCACCTCTCACCATGACTAAGATCAATCATATTGTTTCGAGGATGTTTTAAATCCCTTATTTCCCTCAACCTTCACCTGTTCTTAACTTGTTTTCCTTTTTAACCATACTACAGTTTCCACAAAGACTGAATAAGGGGTTACAATGTTTTTGACATTGCTTATAAAATAATGGGTTAAAATAGAGGCTTTCTCAATTCATTTCTTCGTTTATCACGCTAAAGTTGAAGAGAAGGTTGAGTTCTGAAGAGAGGTGAAAAATAATTCGTGAGCGTTTTCATTGTTTGTATGCACGTGCGGAAAAACATCGGAGAAAAAATGGTCCTGCAAAGCATGGTTCTGCTAATGCCGTCATATTCTAAATTTGACATGATTGTAACAGCTTAAAAATGTGGGCCTCATTTTTATGCCACATGTTTGCATAGTCCTATACACATCTATTTTGTGTACAGTGCTTGTTACTTTTCCCAAGGTAATTTGGTGTCTTTAATGTCTCCGGTATAGAGGCATAGGACCTTATCAAATAAAATAAAACTATGGATAATCCTAAAGGGCATTTTAAGCGATGTTCATATCTTCTGAGAACGGATATCGTAATATCAATTTTTCTAATGTTTGTTGCAGAACTTAAAACAGTCGCTATTTATTCTAAACGATGATCTTTGTTTTCTACATTGCTCGTCATAATGATTGAAATAATTAAGAGATTAGTAGAAGAGGAAAATTATCCATAAATAATTTAAAAGTCTGCTAAGAATTTTTTGGGGGCTTCATTTTGATCTTAAAATTGTTTTTCGTACATGTTCTTGACATTTTACAAATGATTTATCAATCTAAAAAGTTTCAGTGGTGATTTTTCCAAGGAATTATGAGTAAGAATGACTTCAATGGAAAATTTTGCCCCGAATATACAAAAGCAAATTGTTTACGCTGATTGTGCACTGATGCTATTCAACACATTAACTTTGTAACATTTTACGAAAAATTGTGTTCAAATTTGTATCCTTGTGAAATTTACACAGATTTTAAGGGATTCTACCGACAAAATAACCTATGGAATTTCACTAAAGATGTTTAAATGCTTTTTTAGATGTTGCCAATCAATATCGTTGCATTTATGAGACACTCTGTAGATTGTATTGAGTTGATACCGTAACTCACCTTCTAAAATAATTATTCTCATCTCTCTGAAAGCTATTATTTCTCCCAAAGAAATTACAAAATTTCTCCGCGGTATTTCTTCATGTTTTTGCTATGATTTTCACTTTATTGCGAGATGGGCTTCTGTATATCAATTAGCGAATTCTCTAATATCTCCTTCCTTCATAGGCGCTATAGCAGGAATTTCGGTCGTAATGGTGATGATCATCATCGCGTTTGTCATCTTAGCTGTACTATATGTTTTGAAAAAGTGAGTATTATCTTAGATCTGATTTAATTGTTATAATAATTCATAATAGACTACGATGTGGATATATTACTTATTTTTGCAATCTCCACGACCTGTGCCTGAGACAACGGGAAACACAATCTTTCTATACAAAAGAAAGTCATAAAATTGTTATTTTCTGTTTTTCTCCTTTATTAATTGTTTTTGTACTGCTTGTAAGAGATGACGTTTCGGAATCGCATACTACTCCTTTTAGGGAATAATAGATCCGCGTTAAACTATTCCAATTCCTTTACACAAACCGAGGAACTACTCAAATTAATAGTTCACTTATTTAAATCTATCAATCTCCCCTTTTCTTGAAATATCTATAATAATAATAATAATAATAATAGATCACATTTATAACGTGCCTAATACATTGTTTCTAGGCGCTATAGTGACAGAGTAAAAGTACATGTTGATACTTGTGCATACAGCATGTTCCATTTTATAATGGGCACTTATATAGCGCCTCCATCACGCCATGATTGTACGATTTTCATCTTCATCTTTATTTTGTTTTTTGTTTCTTTATCTATACAGGAAAAAGGAGGCGAAGGAAAGAGCTTCCGAGTTGCATCCAGAAGTGTTGAACCAAAAATCGGACTCTGTCGAAAATGTCTATGAAATAAACGAATCCAATGTAACGGGAAGTGAAACTGATCTGCCGCCCTCTACGACCGGCGGACATACAGTCGACGCAAGGAATACTGCTGGGAACATGAGCAACGGACAACCTCCAAGAGCACTACCCAGTATACACCTGTATGCCGATGTAACGCTTCCCCCCGAGGATATCATCAGTCCAACGTCGGACTACGGCACTGTGTACTACGCCAGCGATGAAGACAACAAGGAGTCGCCTGCCCGCAACCCCGGCGATAGCGTTGACGAAACACAACATCAAGATCGCGACAAAAAGTTTTATTTTGTTCTTGAAAGTGCCCTCCCGAATGATCACGCCGATAAGGGTCAATGTTCGACACAAAAACCTCAAGTCAAGGCCCGAGCTCCAAAAGGGAGATTTGTCAAGAAGCCTCCTCGCAATGCTCCAAAGAATGTGGAAACTTTACATAACCAAGGCACCTCTGCAGACAACATTCCGCACGCGAATCCCAGTTTTGAAGGCAGCTTCGTTCCCGAAAGCGAATCAGCTCGCGTTGATGTTTTACCGGGAGTGGGCGCTGTAACAGAACAAACTGGCGCAACGTTACAACATGAGCCCAAATCCCCCGAATCCCCTAAATACGTTAATAGCGAATTTCACGACGCGCCAAAGAACCTAATCGAAAATACCTTGTACAAACCATCAGACTTTAAATCGACCGAAGCAGCTGAGAGCAAACAAACATTGTGTGTGCCAAATCCAAAGACGCGTCTCCGGAACAATTCGGAGTCCGAAGCCACGCCGAAATCTCCACCGTACGCGAACTCTGACCCCAAGAGACGAAGGTCAACAGGTGAGCCCAAAGGTCAAGTTGTAAGGTCAGAACAAGACGAAGGACAAGAAGCATCAACGCCGTCAATTACAAGTCCCCTTTATACTAATACTGAATTTCACGCAGTGCCAGATAATATGATAGACAATGAACTCTACAAGTCGTGCACTCCGGGAAAATAGATGTCTTCGCCAATGACAGCGCTTAACCCTGAACCTGCTGCAACAGGGTGGTCCCCGTATTAAGCCTATGGAAACTAGAGAATACAGTAGTCAAGAGCATGAACAGGTTAAATGAACAACCAACCCCTATAACGATTGTGTCTGGCATGTTAACTCTACTTTTTTTTTCATACTTTATTATGATGTATTCTGGCTACAGCCAACGTTCGTTCGTTCGTGTCTCCTTAGACCAAGATTAATGTAATCTTGATCTTCGGAGTAGTTGCTACAACCGGCCGTGTCAGACAATTACAGTTAACATTACATTTAATCAATAGTATGAAACTATTAAAATTACTCTCATGTTACGGGAAAAAAATATTGCATATATACATTATGAATCAATTGAATTGGTCGATCCAGTTCGATGGCACAAACACGGCACTACTGGACAGAGATCCTAATAATTACAGAGCTTGGTCTTGATGCTCTCCAACAAGACAGGCAACAAGACAGGCAATAGCGGTCTTCTCGGCTGGGTTCTTCTGAAAAGCTATATGAAGCTTTACTAGATCGAATTATTAATTCTATCGGGATTGTCAATTCAAGAACAAAAGTTGAGTACCTCATATAAATTGGTTTGCATGTAGTGTTAATAGGCTAGTTTGTAGTTAGCTTCGGTACACATGGCACCAAATTTTCACAGATCTTTTACACATGGAGTCGTCCCACTTGTGTATGGAGGTGTTTCATGAAGAACTCTGCCCTCTTGAGAATAATTCTTTCACCTGTGTACAGTTGTAGCAGAGAAATGTACCGTCGGCGCATAAATGAATGATGATTACATAACTCTCATTAGTACGAATCCAGTATTCTTCTCGATGGGTTTTACATTTTTGAACAAATGACCTTTATCTGCCCATGCGCAGAAAATATTTGCCAACGTGCTTATTGAAAAGTCCTCACTAATAAAAAAAAAATAAAAAAAATAGAAGAGGGAAATTGGCTATGTTGAAGCTAAGCGATGTGTTACAGGCCCAAGAGTGTATATTCATTGAAAATAGAACGAAAGAGCACTGCATATTTACAAATGACAAAATTAATGTGAATGACAATTACTTAATTCGCATTTAAAAATGGACCTTAACCCTAATAAAAAAAAATTCTGATTGCTCGAGAACGCATATGGATGGCGCCCCGCCACTCGCTGACTTTTTTCTTTCGAGTCTTGCACAACTTTTAAAAGAATTTTTTTGAAAATCGGACCTACGGTTACAAGGTCACGTGACCTTTTGTCTTTGCATGTCACCCCGAAAATCGCTCATTTTCATGATTTGTGTACAAAACATATGGAAAAGTAATTTTTCCTAAAAACAGATCAAACATGGGTTATTGGGTCTTGTTTAAAGTTTAGGTGGTTGTTTTGGGTGTCAAAATAGTTGAATTGTAATAAGAAATGAAATAAAATAACAAAAGCAACGAAAAAAATAAGTTAAAAAAACAATGAAATACATAAGAAATTATCAAAACAAGGGATAACATAAGGAATAAGCTGGCTCTTACAAATTTTTGTGTTGTATTATTATTCAGAATGGTCTAATGAATATATGTAGTGAAAAAGAATGCCTAATGCCTAATTATGAATAATATATGATTTATGGGTAAAAATGTGAGTTTTATGACTATATTTGCATAAATTACCATAAATATGCAAATGAGTGAATTTTTCAAAAAATTGAAATTATCATATTATTCTATACACTTCACTTGACATGCGTGCAAATTTTCGCGGCGATCGGCCGCTTCGCGGCCGAGATATTAAGGGGGGGGGCATAATGCCCCCCCGGCCATACTAAGACCTCAAATAGCCCGGCCTTATTAGGGTTAAATGTTAGCGTCGTTGAAAACAGTAATATAGCAATTCACATTGTTTGAATAGATAAGCATTACATGTGCGAACACAAATGTGGAATTGAATAATTAAACATTACGTTAAGATATTGTTGATCATTATGCTGCATTTATTCATTGAAATTAAAGAAGTAACTTTTCCAGAGAAAATATAACAACTTAAGTTTTACCGTTTTGATTTCTCTTTCCTTCTTTCAGGCCTCCGCCGTTTCCTTCGTGTAATCAAATTGCTTACATTTCCAATGCCTTTTTTTTTCGTCATTGTCTGACTAGACTCATTCTTAGATTAGAGAGCTGCCAAACATCAAAACTCTACAATAGAGCTCATGAAAGAGGTCGTGAAACAGAATGAAATACTCTTATATATAAGATTGGTTAAAGCAAATTTCCCCATCAAATGGAAACAGAAAGCAGCTGGTACTTTTCAATAATAAAGTGGTCTTGTGACAAAGGAAAAATGTTCCTAGGGTCCGTTTAAATGGTTAGTGGAGAATGAGAGTCTAGAACAGCTGTTTCGTAGAGCTTCATCATTGCTCAATAAAACAACGTTTTATTCCAAGTTTTCGGTCTACAATGATTTTTGGGGGTATTAGCCTTTGAACAATTAGCTTTGCACTATATTTTTATTAGTGATAAGCCTTTATTATAATTTAATCAAATGTAATGCAAACATGTTTTTCAAGTGTTTAATCGCAAATGATTTCATTCACCTGTTACGAATAACTGTATTTCAATAGTCAGGATGCGGATTGCATACATTACGTGTTGTTAGGTAAGGCTAGCAATTATGTTTGTCCTACCTACCAACAATTAATGTATGCTATTTGAATTCTGACTATTAAAATACATTTATTCGTAACAGGTGAATGAAATGATGACAAAGACTTATGCGTAATATTTGATTACGTTACAAAATGACCGATTGACGTGTATGATAAAATATTCAACAAATTAATCATAATTATCTGACCTGTCGTATATATCTGGCAACCAATGCGCGAACTTATCACTGGCTAAGACAGTGCTCTACAAAACAAAAAATGAAAGGGGGTTCGGATGGTACCTTTTGTAGTCATTATGAATTAGTCCTAACCTAACCATTTGAGGGTCGGTCCGGAAACAGATTTGTGATGTATCTTGAAAGTTGTTGATATCTGGCCTTACTTTAAGACTGTGCGATATATTTTTCTTTGATTTATTTGGTTGGAGCTGATCGTACCTCAATTTAACTAAAAAAAGTTACAATAATTGGTATAAGCTACTGAAATTGTGGCATTTGATTGGCCTCAAGCAGATTTGTCATAGAAAGTTAGCATTTGTTGTTGATAACATGTAATATGAAGCAGGGCCCCGTGGCAATTGCAAGAATGTTTTGTTACTGTTCATTAAAGGGCGTTGCCGTTTTTTTTTGTTGCAATGTGAACATCTCAAATCTTGTCAGGGTCAAAATGTTGTTTTAACACAATCCTAATTGAAAGCTTTCCTAATGTTATGGTGGCAAATTAGTCATTATTAGCATATGGCAGTGTTTTATTCACCCCGATTTGTTTTTTACAGAATGAGGTATTTAATTTTAACTCTTAGAGAGAAAATTACATCCTCTTTTGATTTTAAATTTTGCACATATTTTCATCAACTCATATGGCTGCTACATTACAATTTTGAGATGAGTTTTGGAGGGCTTGCAAATACGTGATAGAGGTTTTTAAGACTATATGTCCCTTTTGCAGCCTACATCAAATTCTGTAGAACTTTCAATTGTAGGAATTATGAAAATGTCATGTATATATGTCTGTGAAAGTTAAACATTATCAGTGTCCTAGTAGTCAAATCAAGAAATATAACCCGTTTACCTTCCAGACTTCACTGTCAGACACTATTGAGTGATTGGCTGACATCTTCTTTTCTTTGGTAATAACATACATGAAATGAGCTGTAACAGGTACATGAGCAATTGTCTACATCAACAACCCACTGCTCGTAATGGCCAAACTTAAACTGATTGAATCTTTGTGCAGCACAAAACTTACGGCCATTTGGTAAAAGAGTCTGAAATCAGACTATTACTTAGGTGATTGCAATCAGTAAGTCGATTCGACAACTAAGAGTCGTTATTTTCCCACTAAAAGCCATTTTCCAGCCCTTTCGCTTTGAGGGAAGTTCTAAATTAGTATTGTCTTTCAAATGACGTTAGAATTTAATCTTTTCAATTTTGGCCTGCAAATGGGACAAAGTACCTTTAAGAATTGTTTTGAGAACTGCACCATATTCAGGGATTCAGCTTGCGCCTGAAAAAGTTTCTTTTTACCATAACAAGAAGACGTGAGTAATAACCATAGGAGACTTATGACAAGTCGGATGTTTTCATATTGGAAACAAAATACAGAACCTTGCCAGACTGGTCTGTCTAATTTGTGGGGTTTCTTTTCCTCTAGTAAATGCTGAGTCAGACATCATGCTTATTATACGTATCTATGGTTAATCAATGGTGTATAATTTCATAAGAAAGCATCCGATAAACAAGAAGAAAAGGGAAATAAAGAAACCAAAGCAGTGGCTTTCTTTTTAAACGTATTAAAAGTGAGCACGTCGATTGGTTGATCTATTGAATTAATAATTGGTTATGAATACAATATATGATTGGGGTGATTATATAGAATGGGTATATCGAATGATCGGGATCGAGAAAGAAAGGAAGAGAGAGAGAGAGAGAGTGAGAGAGAGAGAGAGGGGGGTGGGGGCGGGAGATAGGTCAATTCATATTAATCTCGGCCCCGTCTTATAAAAAGTTTACATTCATCGCAACTTTTTTTCGATTGATATCAATCGCAACTATGTACATGAGAGATCGGAGACTGCAAACTTACGATTAAATGGAGGACTTGCGATTGATTTGAATCAATCACAACTCTTTATAAGACAGGGCCTCTATCTCTTATTTTAAGGATCGAGGAAGTCTTGACGACTGGCTTCAACAGTCATGACCTAGCTGTTTTCCTGAATCAATTTGAAATTAAGAATCCTCAAACTTCATTATACGAAGGACCAATAAAAGTTCATGTAAGTATGGAAGATGGATTAAGCGAATAAATACGAGTATGTTGCCTCTAATTTTCGTAAGTTTTGGTCATTAATCATTATTTAAACGAACAATAGTACATTCCATCCCTCAAGCAATGAACATCCGATAATGATGATAGTACTTTTATTCCGTACGCTGACCATATCTCCATCGGAAAAAAATTATGAGCATCTCTAGCTGAATAGTATTGTTTATTTGTAACCATGGTGACTGCAACTATACAAATTCAGAAGAAAAAAAATAGCATATGATTGAATACCCGATCATCAGTCCTTTCCTGTCAACGGGGAATGGGGGAAGTTAATTTCTGTCAACATAATATTTGAGCTCAACATTCGAAAGCATTACTCAATCATTTCCGTTCCTATAACCATTGCCATTTTCGGTCAGCTGTCATTTTATATATTTTAGCTATGTAAAGAAAGTTATCATTTCACGTTGGCTTATTTTGTAGAAAATTACTAATTGTTATGTCCCTGACAAAGTGAAACAGAAGGTTTTGAAGAAAAGAAAATGTCAGTGATTTACCAAACATTATGTTCCGCTAAACTTTATTGCCGAACTATGGTACATAAATCTAAATAAATAAAAACAAAACAAATTGATTCTTTCTATAATGCGCTGTACTAGTGATACCTTTGAATGCACTTCTAACATCTATATTCTACCCCCCCCTGTATTTTTTTTTACCTGACACACTCGCGTGTACTCCACTCAGTACTTTGCATATCACGCAGTAGTTGCCATTAAGGCGTTAAGCTGTTTCGTCACTGTTTGTTTCGAGCTCCCTTGTATACTTTTCTATCTGACCCTGATGGCCGGTCAGAGTAGTGACGACTTGATGAAAGCCTAGAAGTAACCGGAAAGCTGAGATGAGACACGTAGCTACTTTTAGCGTCGTACTCGTCTGAAGTTTGAGAAGAAAAGCTGTCAAAACAATTTGTTGAATAATTTTTGAGAGTATATCCCCGGATCACATATGTTTTGCTACTGTTGTTCATATTTTAACCTGTCCCTCAGTCTCTTCCTGTTCCGCCCCCATCTTTCTCTCTCTTTCTTATTCCCTCCCTCTCTATCTCACACGCACCATCACTCACACATATACGCAAACACTTTATTTCTCTCTCTCTCTCTCTCTCTCTCTCTCTCTCTCTCTCTCTCTCTCAGTGGCTCAACCTTTTCTGTCCTTTTCCTTCTCTCTCCCTAATTCTCTTTTCATTATTATGTCTAATTTAGCTGATCATACCTACGAAATTTGATTTTGCTTTAGGGTCTACTGTCGTTTGTCAAGGTGTCTGTGTGTGCGTTTGTTTGTTTGTTTGGGGGCCAGGTGGGGGGCTCAGCTGGCGAATCCCCCTCTATATTTTTAACGATCATCTCTCACAGCATGCACATGATAATCCTCACCTGCGCCCCTCTTCACCAGCTCAGCCAATTTACAAGATTTATTTTAGATTTGTTATTTATGTTCTTTTTTATGTGTTCAAGGGCGGGCGCCCTCTCTATAATTGAAGATCCTTCACTCTCCTTGTTTTATTATATGGTTATGGTTTTGTTCAAATAATAAAAGAAAATTCCAGTGGGGATATTATTATTATTATTATTATTATTATTATTATCATTATTATTATTATTATTATTATTATTATTATTATTATTTTTTTTTTTTTTGTGGGGGGGGGGGGGGGGTCAACAATGTGCAAAGGCAGTCAAGTTCTTTAATAAGATAAAGCATCAACATTTGCCACTCTCCGCCAAGGTGAAGAACATGGGTACCTGGTCGAAAACAAACCCCTTAAATGCCAATGCGCCTTATTTCAGGGTAACTCTGCTTGCAAATACGCGCCCTCTTTCGCAAGGCGCTTAGCTTCAGCGCGAGGCAGAGCAGCGCTAACATCCGTTAACAGTAATTTAGCACCACGTGAATATCTCATAGCATTGACAGGCAGACAATCTATGCAGAGAGCTAATGTATGGCCAGTCATAGAATAGTTTTATTTTCGACCTGGGCTGGATGGACTTGCGGAAGCTCCACTGATTGACGAATCGCTATCGGCACCCAGGGGGCTCGGCTAAAAACGCTTCAACTTATTTTGCCATAGAGAATAGTGGACATACGGGGTGCTCTGTTCTTCACCCACCTGCCCACGTTGTGCCTTCCAAATACATGCCTCTGCGGGAACAGATACTAATTAACATTGCCGAACGTGTTGAAAATTAAACAGAGAACATAATATCTTTTTTTTTCTATCACCGCGTGTATTTTGTTTCGCTAATTTTGTTAGGAGCACTGGAAAAGTTTGGAATATGGATGTTAAAGAGTCCTGCCGCTTGAAACAGAAATATCGTCATTGTTTAAATTGGATTATCCCGGTGGTTATAACGTTTGTTGCTCCAATATCATGCCAGATGAATGGAGGTGAGTTTGTTATTTAAATTTATTTCTGTTCAAGTCAGTTCAAACCAGTTTAATGTAGTTCATTGCAGATCAAGTCAGTACCGAATAAGTCTATTTAATTTGTCTATTTAATTTGTGGATATTTGAGTGGAAAATAAATCAAATCAAATCAAATAAAAATAAAAATCATTTACAGCAATTAAAGAATACATATAAAAACAAAGGGGTGCACCAAAAGCAATGCTTATACAATTGTGGACCCCTTAAATGAAGTCAAGCAGAGAAGCGAGCCAGAGAGTTTTGAATTTCATTATCTCATTGTTTCAATTGTTTTCATGAATATATCTGTAAACATATTTTGTATTTTTCTTTTCATTCCCAATTATATCTACTCCGTATTCTGTAAGTGCATAAGAAGTGAAAAGTAATATGCAGTATAACAGTATCATTTATTATCTTAATATAGTTGTTTTTTCTACCAACAAATTCAACCTCACCACGCCTAACATTTGTATTCTTTCTTTTGCCACTCTAATTCTTGCCACTTTTTTGACAGACAAAACCTACATCATCTCAACTACTTGCATAATGCCACGATAGGTTTAAGATGGGAAGGACCGAGGTGTCAATAACTTCTTGTACTAGCCTCCTTACATTGCAACCTACTGTTAATGCCATTTTTCCTGCAATTATTCTCAAATAAAGAAAATGGGGGAGGTGTACAGGCTTACAATGAATATAATTGATACAAAAAAGAGAAAACATGGATTTTGTCGTTGAGTTAGACAAAATAGACATCATAATGTGAAATTTCTCCTTGCAAGTAATTAGTTTTTGGGTCTTCAAAGAGTTAGGTTATACAAAAGGGTATGGTTTACATGATCTGACAAAAAAAAATCGAAACAGGGGATTTTAATTAGTTCTAAACAAACACAATACGAGCAAATAGACTGTAAACAGTAGGTAACACACCTGCAGTGCACAATAAGCGTATAACTATTAGGTTCAAGGTTCCTTACTAATTTTGACGGTAATTGAGACAATCAAAGCGCGTTAAGAAATAAAGGAAACGCTATTACTCTCTTGGGAGAGTGTAGAAAGCATTAATGTGATAATTACCTGGAAGTATACTGTTTTCAAATGCTGACAGCTTTCAATTAGCTTTCTAATTAGTGTGATAGAAGCGGTAGGAAGAGTTAATTTAGCGAATAGCCGAGAGCACGCCTGAATTAGGTATGCATACAACAGGAGATCTAGATTAGCAGAAGGTAATTATGATAGTTGCAGATTCATGAATTTTTGAACAAATATACAATAGTATAATAACGATTATGAATACTTGATTGATGATGACAGTGAATAGTACACTCGTATCGATATAGTGATAATAATTCTAGAATATCATGAGTATAACAGAGATAATAAAAAAATAAAATTGACACCAGATTTGTAAAGTATACAGTGAACTGTATTCTACAATGCCTTAAACGTTACTAAAGGAATGTGATTCATAAACTACATCATCATGATCATGAAAATATATAAGGGCAATTACAAAATAAATTTAGTGTAGACTATGGTGGAGAAGAATGACATACCACTGAGTAAAATGCACACAATCCAGAAAAGAAGAAAACAAGTTCTGTATAATTAAGTTGTTCTTTTCGCCCATCTTTTTATGTTCAGCCCCTTGTCATTGTCTCCCATCATTTTCTATTTTCCGTTGACACATTGCACTGTTCTAATGCCAAATTTACCTCACGTTTTAATAGACTTAATCCTTTCTTGCGAAAAGTCGGCAGTTTTTTGGTTCATTATGTCTTTCCAAAATGGTTTTCAGAACATTGCAGAACCCCCTAAATAAACCACTACTCACTCAACATCTTTCTTAATTGTTTCTCCTTGCTTTTCACGATTTTTTCCATGTCCATTCAAATACCTCTCCCTCTCCCTCCAGGCGCAATTCTTTAGACCTGGGAGGCGTTTCACAGAACTTGCCATCAGTGACAATGACCGTTTTTGTTAAAAGCTACTGAAATCCTTGCTTTTGATTGGTTATCAGCAGATTTGTCACTGATTTTTGTCATTTGTCATTGAAAAAAAGGCTTAGTGAAACTGGTCCCTGTTCGCCACTTTTCCCTTCGTGTTGCATTCTATTTCATATCCAGTACAGTCCACAATCAATAGGCCATTTTCGTAATGTAATCGAATTGTATGCTTTAATTTAATAGGTAAGTGACATGTTACACATTATTTCATTCAGCTGGTATGAATAATAATTAGTTTTAATATTCAAAATGCGAATTACATACATTACATGTTGCTAGTTAGGACAAGCCATAATTTTGTCCGACCTAACAACATGTGATGTACATGTATGCAATTCGCATTCTGACTATTTAAAATACAATTATTCATAACAGCTGAATGAAATAATACGTAACATGGCACTTTACAAAGTTGTTTACTCTTAGCATGTACTTATTACGGATGAACATTCAACGTGATTCTTTCTTTGATCCGATGATAGTCACCGCCTTCTGATTATGTGCATCTCAATGAGAACATTCAGCTGTTTTTAACAATAACGACTGCGTAAGCATTTTCGGTCATTGACAAAGGAGCAGTTTCCCTCTCTTGGATTTTGTTTGGATGGTGTGCTCTGTAAGAGCATGGAGTTACTAGGCAAGTAACTCCATGGTAAGAGTACATGTCTTAAATAAACATAAAAAACCAGATGGGGAGCAGCAACGTTGAAAAGCAGACGATTTTGGTGATATGAAATGTACTATTACTGATTGCACACTTTCGCACACACCCATGACCTTATAAAACAGTAGAAGGCCATGATCTACTGTATAAGCCCTGTGCGTTGTAATTCTGGAATATTATGAAGAAATAGGGGAAAACGGGATTTTAAATCACAACCAATCCAAATATAAACTCTATCTGGTAATATCAACATGTTTTTCAAAATAAAATACAGTACACGAAACAACAATTTCCGATTATAAACCAGAACTCCACATCGATTTCCCATGATTTAAGCGATTTATTATCTTCTGCGCATGTATATTAACATGTTTAAAATCACTCTCTTGATTCTGTCCCGGCTTTTCGGTGGTGACCATCATGAGATCAAAGTGAAGAAACATGTACGGAATGTTATTGAGACGACATTGACGGAGACAATCACAATGCATTCGTTAAGAAAACGATGAATGTCCATCCGTAATAGGTCCATGCTCTTAGGATAAATCATTATCATGTTCGGAATCTCCGTCAACAATTATTCTACATGTCTTTTTTTCATTTTTGTAGCCCGAATGGAATATCAAACTATCCCTGTCTTAATACCCCCATCCCCCAACTCTCTCTCCCTCTTCCCCCCTCTCTCTTCCCCCCCCCCTCTCTCTCTCTCTCTCTCTCTCTCTCTCTCTCTTTCTACTTCATGCTATCTTCCCCTTTGCTCCCATCAATCACCCCTCATGCTCCTCTTCTGGTATGCTACCTTCCAAACTGATAGCCCTTTGGAACATACCCATTTTTGGCCCGCATTCCTATCGTGAGGTATACTATTACTATAACTAAATCGCTTAATCATTATTTCCCTGTTTGATAATTGCCAAGAATAGATCGCTGCCTAACACCAAAATGTTGCCCATGCCAACATTTTAATTCAATATCTTTTGTGCCCGGGATTCAGTAGTTGACTGTTTCATTGAACGATTATCCTTACCCGAAACCACGTGATCTATCATGACCAATCGAATCCGTTGCACCTATTCATCAACCTATTATGTTATCAACCTTGCCAATATGTTATCATCGAGAATGACGCATGTTCCAATTATTTCGACCCTTGAATTATTATCATTACATTAATTAAAAACGTGGTCCTTCTTTGCGTGTTTACTACACGAGTCTAATAGTTTAGTTATGTTTTACATTCACGAGTAGATAGAGAAGAGCATGAATACTTCAATCCGATGATCTCACCTGTCACTCACTTGATGCCACACCCGCTCACAATGTGCATCATCTCCACTCCTCGGAGGTTACTCCTGACAAATGTCCACTGATCATATTAACATGGAGAAGTCCTACCTTGTACATGTTATAGTGAGTACTGCCAAAGGGATGGGGTGCTTGTGAATACGTTTTGTTTGCCCTTTCGAGATGAATACCTACTGTGCTCCATATAATGTACCGTCGGTGCATAAATGCATAAAGATTACATAACTTTATGAGAACGTATCCAGTATTCGTTTCAGTGGGTTTTTTACAATTGTGTACACATTTATTTTGTACAAAATTGCGAAAAGCAATGACCTACGTATCACGCTGACTCAGTTAAATTAGAAGCATTTCTAGAAGGATTTTCTTTTACTGGAGAGGGGGGGGGGGGGGGCTTTAGGGGTCATGTACCTGTCGATTTTCTTAATTTTGTTTGTTTGGGGGGGGGACGAACAATGTGGAAGGGGTGCTCGAGCTTCCCCTCCTACCGCTCTTGATTAATATCGTTGAAATAAATGGTATCACATCAACAACACGATCCCAAAGATGTCAAACGAATCAACAGAAAGCATATGTCAATATAGTTGTACGTTAGGCTTCCCTTTTATGTCTGCAATGGCATAGCAAAATACGAACATGGTTTCTATGGGATACACCATCAAGTATGGGAATTGCCCTTGAGTTGAATTCGCGAAAGTTGGTGTGATTATGTTCACGTTTGATGAATGCTTTCAGCTTAGGTATATAGGCCTACATAATAATAATATTAATAACAATAATATAGTGTATTTGTAATGCGCCAACTATGACTAATGCGTTCGAGGCGCAACGGAGAAGAAAAACTATAAGTATACGAAAAAGAAAAAAAATGAACAACAACAATCACTATGAACATGACAGACAATGAAAGCGGACAAAATATACAGTTCCTCAGGTAGATAAAGGAACATCCCTTCACTGCTATTATGTAAAAATGTGTGGAACAGGTGTCACATGCATATTCA